GTAAGACTTTTAGAAATAACATTATTTACTGAAGCATTTTTGAAAGCCATTTTAATTGCTGGTCTGTAGACATACCATGTTGGTGAAAGATGCTGTCGTTGAAATGCATTCTCTAATTTGAATTGATAGAAGGTTCTTGGAAATGGCAGAGGTTGAAAGTTATCTTTAATCATCAGATATTAGTTAGATGTGATCACTTTTAACAGACTGCAGGTTCAGAGAGTCTGTGCAGAATGGATTTTTTAGCATCTCTGTAAAATATTCATCTATGCAGTGACTTTTTCAGTTGGTTCAACAACACTGCAGTGACTATCTAACTGTTTATGCACATTTCCACAATCTCTTAAAACAATGCAGATATGCATATTTAAGCCTCTTGATTATTGACTAGCTGTCCAGAAAGGCTACATCAGCTTTAGTCCTGCCAGTTCTGTTTGAAAGGACCTGACACCTTGTCCCTCTCTATATACTGTGGTCTCAAGAAGGAAGTCACTGTGCACAGTCTACAATTCAGGAGTGGGAGTTACATAACACCTCCTGATGGCAGAGTATCTACGTAAATTTTATTTTAATTACTCAGCACGAAACAGAACTTTCTTTATTAATTTAGTCTATTGTTTATATCAGTATGGACTCATGACTATTTTTTTGTTGTTGTAGAACAACAAAAAAAGGAAATTTATTACCTGTATATGGTACGGTAGTAGTTGTCATCACAAACTAGCATAACCAAACAAACTGTGAATCCTACAGTATCAAGAATTTCTTGTGGGGGGTAGGAGGTTGTGGTTTTCTTTTTTAAATAAAAAGAAAAAAAATTTCTTGTTACTACCATTATTTCCATGTACAACAATTTTTTTTGGTATTGTTTCTTTTTTATAATCATTTTATTAGGGGCTCATACAACTCTTATCACAATCCATACATACATCAACTGTGTAAAGCGCATTTGTACATTCATTGCCCTCATCATTCTCAAAACATTTCCTCTCCACTTAAACCCCTGGCATCAGGTCCTCAATTTTCCCCTCCCTCCCCGCTCCCCTCTCCCTCATGAGCCCTTGATAATTTATAAATTGTTATTTTGTCATATCTTGCCCTGTCCAATGTCTCCCTTCACCCACTTTTCAGTTGTCCCGTCCCCCAGGGAGGTCACATATAGTTCCTTGTAATCGGTTCCCTCTTTCCTACCCATTCTCCCTCTACCCTCCCAGTATTGCCACTCACACCACTGGTCCTGTAGGGATCATCTGCCCTGTGTTCCCTGTATTTCCAGTGCCTATCTGTACCAGTGTACATCCTCTGGTCTAGCCAGACTTGCAAGGTAGAATTCGTGTCATGATAGTGGGAGCGGGGAGGAGACATTTAGGAACTAGAGGAGTTGTAGTTTTCATCGTTGCTACGTCACACCCTGACTGGCTCGTCTCCTCCCCGAGATCCCTCTGCAAAGGGGATCTCTAGTGGCTTACTCATGGGCTTTGGGTTTCTACTCCATTCACTATGGTAAGATTTTTTTGTTCTGATGATGCCTTATACCTGATCCCTTCGACACCTCGTGATTGCATAGGCTGGTGTGCTTCTTCCATGTGGGCTTTGTTGCTTCTGAGCTTGATGGCTGCTTGATTACCTTCAAGCCTTTAAGACCCCAGACGCTATACTTTTTGATAGCCGGGCACCATCAGTTTTCTTCACCACATTTGCTTATGCACCCATTTGTCTTCAGTGGTTGTGTCGGGAAGGTGAGCATCATAGAATGCCAATTTAATAGAAGAAAGTGTTCTTGCATTGAGGGAGTACTTGAGTGGAGGCCTAATGTGGACTCATGACTATTATATACTTTGGGTTATAATCCAATATTATTTTATTTTGCTCTAATTGTACTACCTTTCACTTTGGGGAGTTCTTTCAGATATGTGTTTATTTTTTAAAATCTCTGAATACATAAATTATCTAATTGGGGTATTTTTGTTTTAAATAATTTTCTTTTTCCTTATGAAGTGTGTGTTCTTTAAGTTTAAAAATTTTCTCTCTCCCTCTTTATTTATTTTGGTCTCCTTTTTCTTGTTATAAGCTTACTTTAATGTCTGTTCATAGTTAAGTATAGGGCACCAAACAAATGCAGTCAAATGCTCTGCCACTGAGAGGGGCACCAAACAAATGTACAAATGTGCTTGACACAATGGATGGATGGATGGATTGTGATAAGAATTGTACGAGCCCCCAATAAAATGATTTTAAAAAAAAAGAAGAATAGGGCATCAAAAGCTGATGGAAAGCCCTAAATGTGTGGATGAGACTTCCCCCTCTGGGAATCTAACCCACTAGAGAAAGGAAAAAAAATCTAAAGGTAGGGATGTGGGGTCTGGGGATGGGATTTCCTTCAATTAAACTGTCCGGTTAGATCACCTAGGATTACAAATAGGCCCATCCACATGTTCAGCATTGGGTCATTACCGGAAAACCGGATATTATTGTTAACTTGCACGTTTTTAATCTAATGATATCTCTACCCAATTCCATGAGATGCTAGTAGCATTTTAAGAAAGTCTGTTCAAAACCCACCTCTACCCCCTCAACTGCCATCTGTTGATTTGCTTTTCCCTATAATTGCCCAGACCTAGGTGGACAAGACTGAATTGATTCCTGTGTAGTCAATTTATAAAAGGTATTTGATGATTGTAGATGTACCTGAACTCCACGAGTTCAGGCTGCCCAGGGCCATCTCGATCTTAGAGTTTGCTGCTCTGTTTGGACTACTTTCCTTCAATTTGAACAGATTTCCCTCCAAAGGAAGATAGCAGTGAACTTTTCAAGCAAGAAATAGTTCTTTGAGTTCAAGTTGTTTTTTTACCACATTACTTAAATACAGCTTTGGGGGCTTAGTTGTTATTAACAGTCTTTGTTCAGTAATTCATTTATTTGCTTAACATTATCCTGGACTCGAGGAACTTACTCACAATCTCCTGGGAGAGTTAGGTCACAAGATGCTGTGACTGTGTGGAGGGGTCAGAGAGGAAGAGCCCAGAGAGGCACTACAGTATCTCCAAGTTTTTATTTTCCCAGCAACTCTTTTGACCATTCACCCAAAAACTTATATGCAGGGTTCTTTAAACTATATAAAACCATCTCAGATAACCCCAGATTTATTAATTGTCACGGACAAATGGGTATGTAGAAATGCTTTTATGTATGCTATGAGAATTTTTTTAATCTGTCTCATTAAATGACTTCCTTTATTCGTTTGCTAGGGATGGATAAAGAATGTAGGTTTTTTTTTTTAAAGAATATAGTTTATTTTATCAGTAAAACTCCTGGTATAAGGATTAATGAAAAAGAAACGTAGCTTAAAATGTTAAGTCTTGAAAAATCACAATTGAAGTGGGGATTGCTGAAGACTGGTGGCATAGATGATTTTTAAAAATTATTTTCCACACCAAATAAGAAAACCACACAGGCATATAAAATCTTTGTACTCAAAAGCTGTAGGTAAAATAAGAAGATAGCAGGTTCAGCACAAAATTAAATCCTGCAAAAGCTTCAAGGAAACGAATTGGTATGATTACTTCATATAAGTAAATACAATACATCTTTTACATTTTCTAGTAGAAAAGGTTCCTTCCCCTGAGGTCCGTCACCATCATCTCTCTGCTGGTGGCCCAAATACTGTGTCAATTAGCATCAGGAAAAGCTTTCACTTGCCATTTGGAATCACCACTCTTTGTTTGGCTGAGCTTTGAGTCTGGAGTGATAGTAAATGAATAAATACAGGAAGACTTGTAGACAAAGAAAGAAACTCTTTTTTTAAAAATCATTTTATTGGGGGCTCATATAACTCTTATCACAATCCATACATCAGTTGAAACAGGCATGTTTGTACATATGTTGTCCTCATTCTCTTCTAGACATGCCTCGGTACCAGCTCTTTTTCCCTCCCCCCTCTCCCCTACCCTCATAACCCCCCTGATGGATTGTACATTGTTATTATTTTCATCTCTCACACTGACCATTGTCTCCTTTCCCCCATGTTCTCTATTTTTCTTCCCCCTGTAGAGGGGTGTATGGTTATGTGTCGACCACTATAATCAGTTCCCCCTTTCTCCTTACCTCTCCCCCACTTCCCCCTACCCATCCGGAGTCACCATTCCCACTCCTGGATTCTGTGTGTCGTGAACTCCCATCCCTTTGTACACCTGTGTACATGTTCCGGTCTAGTCTGAACTGGGAAGCAGCACTAGGGTCATGGTAGTGGGTGGTGAGGAAGCCCCAAGGAACCAGAGGAACATAGTGTGTAAAGAAACTCTTCTATGGAATCATTCCAACAGGACATAGAACCTAAGACTCACAGTCAGCCTATTTGTTAAAACCAAATTTTTACTATCTGAAATATTTTGTGTGTGTTTCAAAGTCAGGGTGATACATTAAAGCTTATCAAACATACATTTGGAAGAAGTGATTTCTAATGGTGTATGTGTCTTAATCATTTACTTTAGTAAGTATATTTTGGTTTTATTATTTTAAGGGACCAAGTTACTGTCCCAGGAGCCCTGCTTATGTGTTGGGCTGCTAACCACAAGGTCAGCAGTTCAAAACCACTAGCCACTCTGCAGGAGAAAGATGAGGCTTTCCACTCCTGTAAAGATTTGCCGTCTTCAAAACCCAAATGAGAGTTCTACACTTTCCTGTAGGGTCATTGTGAGTCAGAATTGACTCAGTGGCAGCAAGTGAGTTTAACTTAAAATGTACTGGTTTAATACATCCTCTTATTCCTGATGTTCAGACATCGCAATGCCCTAGTAGTACCATCTGAGATTTTTTTTCTTGCTGTTAATAGGCAGTTAACTATAGTTTTTATCAACTTGATGGCAGTGGGTTTGGTTTTAGTTTTTGGTTTATAAGCTTCTTAGATTTCTTGGAACCTGATTGCATATAAATTCTTGTGCAATAGATTAGATGATAACCTAGTTGACTTAGAATTTACTATTGTTATTCTATTTTTGCAGATTGCCAGTCACAGTGGCTATGTCCAGGTTGATTGGAAGAGAGTTGAAAAAGATGTGAACAAAGCAAAAAGACAGATAAAGAAACGTGCAAATAAAGCAGCACCTGAAATCAACAATATCATTGAAGAAGTAAGACAGTAATATGTTGGCTCCTTATTTTCAGTGGGTCTTATGTAGAAGTAAATGTGACTAGGAATTATTTTCTTTAAAAAAAATTGGTGGTTTGTGCCATAGGCCTCCAGTGTTCCGTAAAATGTAGGATTAAACCACTAGGTGAATTAAATAGCAAATAATTTATAAAGTAATGTCTTGGTAGTAAACATGGATTCCACTCTCCCCAGCACCTTGAACCCCCTATGTAAAAACGGATAGCATAATTTTCCCAAACTTTTTCTTCTATTTTTACAATGTGTGTATGTGTATACAGGAGCCCTGCTGGGCCGTGGGTTAGGTTTTGAGCAGCTCCTGTCAATAAGTACAGTCTTGGAAATCCTCTCTTGGGTCGCTGTGAGTCAGAACTGACTCAGTGGCAGTGGGTTTGGTTTTCTGGATGTGTGTATATGATGTGTTGTAAGTGAAAACTACCCCCCCTCCTTTTTTGAGGTGGAATGTTTTCCTAATTTAATTTAAAAAATTTAAATCAACTAAAAGTTAAAAGATGAGTACAGTGAATACTCAAATACACTTCACCTACTCATCAAATTGTTGACACTTTGCCACACATGTTTTACCTGTGTGCATCTGTATGATTGACACCTTTTAAACACTTTTTTAAAAATCTGGACCATTTCAAACGTCGTGTCTCTTCACTCCTGAAGACTTTAGCACCTGTCTCCTAAGGATAGGGAGAATCTCCTGTAGAATTACAAGTACTATGACCACACCCAAGAAGTTAAAACATACACTACTTCCTAATCTGTAGCCGGTATTTGCAGTTTTTCTACAAAATATCCACCACTACCCCCGACCTTCAGTCAAGAAATACACATTCCGCTGACTGTCATTCTCTTTGTTGTCTGCTGTAATCTTACGACACCTTCAGCCGGTGGTTGGTTCTCCCCTTGCCCCTCATCGTTATGATGCTGACAGTGTTGAAGCATCTAGGCCAGTTTGTGCAGACTAGCTTTGACTTTCTCTGATTGCTCCCTCTTACTCATATTTGGGTTAAACATTTTACTAAAGTGATGTCAACTATACTTATTTTGACCCTGTACATTTTGTTTTACTACTTAATTGGATTAGTAATAAGTATCATTGTGTCTGCTGTGGGAATTTTTTAAGTAATCTGTGTTAATAACTTGCTGAAGGAACCATGTATGTATGTTCTATATGTGGGTTTCAGGTTGCCTGAGAGGTCATGGCTGCCAAAATACCGATTATCTCAGTAGTCACAAAGCTTACTGGGTCTGGCTCAGGGTTCCAGATTCCTTCACTTTGTTATAATTGATCATTCTGAGGATCTTGCATGGTATTTGATACCTACAATAGTAGAAACCTGGGGATTTTTGCTGAATATTTATGTGATGAAAATAGCTGAACATGTTACTTAGCTCTGGATTCAATAATTAAGCGTATTTGTGTTTCAATTTACTTTGTTTCAGGCTACAGAATTTATTAAACAGAACATCGTGATATCCAGTGGATTTGTGGGAGGCTTTTTGCTAGGACTTGCATCATAAGGACAGGAATGTTCTAACATAGTGGATGCAACTGTGACAAGAGCAGTGGTGGTATCAGGGTGTTGTCTCAGCAGCATCTGCCACCAGATTTTCTGGAGCAAGGAGCAACAACAAGCTGGACGATACTGAATTCATTACTTTATTGTTTTGCCTTCCTGAAGCTTGGCAAACTATTATCTGCTGTAAAATACCCTGTATCCTATGTCTATAGTAGTATTCTTGAGCAAAACATGGTTAGCTTTCATCATTTAAAAGAATATAGCCTCCTCCCTGGGGGATTGACAAGAGAATGGTGGGTGAAGGGAGATGTCGGACAGTTTAAGATATGACAAAATAATAATAATTTATAAATTATCAAGGGTACATGAGGGAGGGGGACGCGGGGAGGGAGGGGGAAAATGAGGAGCTGATACCAGGGGCTCAAGTGTACAAATGTATAAATGTGCTTGACACTACGGATGTTTGTATGGATTGTGATCAGAGATGTAAGCGCCCCCAATAAAAGTATTTAAAAAACAAAAACAAACACAACAACAACAAAAAGAATTTGCATCTGTTTCTAAATTAGCCTATAAAATATTATCCATGATTGCAGATTGGAAGAGGAAAAAACAATCTGTTTGTTGGATATAAGTTCAATAAGTAAGATTTTATCCTCATTTTATTTAAATAAGATATTTCTTCATTATACTTTTCAGTGTAGTAGCAATGATGAATAATTTGTATTGTTTCAGGATTAGGGATCAGTCTTTATTTTAAGAAATGTTTTCAGTAAGCTGAAGAACTGTAACATCCTTGTGTGGAAAGATTTAGAATAGAATTATTAAGGATGTTAAACGGACTACTGATGTATTTTCATATCAATTTTTAGGTTCCTTTTTCTATTTGGGTTTTAATATACTTATTTTTACCTAAAGTTCTACTTTGCTTAAATAATTGTAATAGACAATTTGAAAGAAAGTCTTTTGAAGCAAATATTACATGTTGAAAGCTACCTTTTCTTTCTTTGTTCCTTTTTTTAATGTCTGCACAGGTATCTTCTTGTATGAGTTTCCAGTTTTTAAAATTTGTTCTTCATGGTAGCATGGACAGAAATAATTTCTGAGTGTATATAGTTGGGCAAGTTATTTATTTTATTAACCTTGGATGAACTTCCATTCTCATTTCTGAAATTCCTAATTATTACTCTGGCCTCTGGTCAAAAAGCGGTAAAGGTCACTTAAGATTTAGTAGTAGAGGCTGAATTTTCTGTTTGAAGAACAGTGATTTCATGTGTAACTAAGAAATTGTAGCTTCAAGAGAACTGTTCCCTTGATCTGGTCTGAGATGTAAGTGGGAAGGATTTCAGGCTTTGGCTCTCATTTTATTGGTTGGACCTTAAGCCAGTTCATTGTGTCTCCGGGCCAACATTACACTCCCTCAGAGACTCCTTTGTTACGTTTTCTGTATTGTTAAGTTTTGTCTGTGGCAGTCTAGTTTGGAGTTGTAAAGAAAAAAACCAGAACAATCTGTGTTAGGGGTCTTCAGATTGGAAAGATTTTGCTCAGGCTACCACCTTTCCATAGGCAGTCCCATCATATAGTTTCTGTATTGTGAACGTGGCATTTCATGCTTTCAAGATTGATTACACTCTGAGGGCTTTCATTATTGTTGAGACTCCTTAAAGTTGAATGTGAGATTGATAGTGGATGTCTTCCTTTACTCTCATTAGTGCCTCAGATATAATGCTAAATAAAATTCAGACTTTCGTATTATGAAGTGATTTTGTATATAATACTAGATTCTTCTCCCGGCTTTTCTTTATTTTCACCTGGCCAAGCTCTTTTTGTGTGGAGTTCAAAAGAAAAACAGTTCATCAGGTTCCATATTAGGTGGAACCTTGATTGTGCTGCTGCGCGCCAGACCTTTGTGACGCCCTCGAGTGCTCCAGGAACTCAGCTCGACTAGCTGCCTCCATTTGTGTCGGTTGGAAATACTTAGTGTTCTGTGCACGATACACTAGGACAGTGGAGGAGGGAACACAATCATGTGTCTGTCCTCAATAGCCTTCAGCTTGTTAGGGGCTAGCTGTCAAGGGAACAGAGATCAAGCTATTCCTATGTGAAAAGTCACAGTATGGAAGAAGCTGGCAAACAAGGAGTTGGATAATTACTTTCAAAGTCCAAACATAAATGAAAACCGAAGAAGACAAGCACACCTCATTTTTACCTGTATGTTTCCAAGTAGCTGCCTAGATTTTAAAAAAGATTTCTGTGAAACTAATATTATGTTGTGTCCCTGGTTCTGGCTCATGTCTATACCGCTTTCCCCACTAACTTGTCCGCTGCTGGAAGCTGGTCCGTCTGTGATTTGTGAAGCGCACAGTGCAGTGCTTTGCTCATGGTAGGCTGCTGGCAGGGTGATTTGCTTTTATGAGTCCCATGGCTGTCTAAGCTGAGGCCTTGGGCTCAGAACATTCTCTGATCGGGCTGGAAATGGGGAGGGTCTCCCATTCTACTCTGCTTGCCAGAGAAGCCGCTTCTGAAGCCACAGCAACGCTTTCTGTGACTATCTGTAACTAAATCTGAAGTAATCTTGTCGCCAGCGGGAGAAGAAATGTTACTTTCAGTCATGCACCCCTAGTCACGGACTGCCCTGCTGTGTGAGTTTGAACAAAGCTTGGCAACAAGACCGTCAGGCCAGGTGCCGGTGAACAAAGGCACCTTCCTCTAACTCCTTTTCCTGTTCCCATGTACTCTGAGCTTTGAAACCCCTGGAGCCTTTTGCCTCACAGTCTTTTGCTTACAATGTCAAGTGGACCCTTACTTGTGCAACAAGATTTCCTATGTCAACACCACAATGATTCAGTCCATTCCTTGGTGTCCTAACTGCTAGGCATGTAAATAAAGTTTATGAGCTTGCCATTGGGTAATGCCAGTTAATTAGAGAACTACAGCCCTCTTTCAGCCAATTTTTAAATCTCAACTCACTGCAGTTGTGTGGAACTCTCAGCATCTCGTTATTTTGTCCTCAACTATGAGGCTATAACAACTCCCCACTTTTTACCTCTCTGTTAATTTATGACACCCATGCAGCACTTCTCTGACCACCTGGAGTTGGCTAGATCTCCCCAGTTAGAAAGAGGCCATCATTCAGACTCAAGTAGGCACCTTTCACGTGACACCTCCCTTGTCATGCTGGTGACACATTCGGGTTGCCCAGCTCTACCCCTTTTGAGTATGGGTAGCCACAAACGGGAGTTCTTCCGTTTCCTTCATTTCTGACCTGCCGCCCCACTACTACGGAGCAACTCACAGAAAGTGCCATGCTTAACAACTACAGATTTATTTATAGTGAAAACAGTACAGATGAAGAGTTGCATAGGGTGAGGTCTGGGAAGGTTCCTAGCCTGACGCTTCCATGTGCTAAAGGGACACAACCCTCCTATGTACACCAATGTCTCCATGAAGCTCCCAAGTCCAAAGTCTCCATGGACTTCATTATGGACTCATCAGGATGGGGGCGTCATTACCCCAGGATGATTTATGATGAATGCTCTCTTCCCACCTGGTGTACCCAGCTGATACCAGGGTACACCAAGTGATCTTCGTGCTTTGGCCAGTCCACACTCATTTGTACAAATCGTCAAGTGTTTAAATAGTAAAGGCACCTCAAGTACTCTGAGCCTGGGTTTAGAATTCTCTTAGCAAACAAGGGCAAAGATCAAACTATTTTCTTGTAGGTACCATCAAGGTGATTTTGACTCAGGGCCCCTTTGTACAACGGAACAAAACACTGCCCAGTCCTGCACCATCCTCGCACCTGTTATACCGGAGCCCATTGTTGGAGCTACTGTGTTGCTCTGAGGCTGTAGATTTTTACAGGAGCAGAAAGCCTCATCTTTCTCCCGTGGAGCCACTGGTGGGTTCAAACTGCAGACTTTGTGGTTAGCAGGCTAACGTGCAATCAGTTATTCCACCAAGCCCGAAGAAAGCAAAGGCCATTAAAATGACAGGAAAGAAGGAGGGCCAGAGTTAAATCAGAAGAGACTGTAACACTTCCTCTTGCAAGCAGCCATCTAACTGAGAAGCAACAAAGCCCACATGGAAGAAGCACACCAGCCTGTAGGATCATGAGGTGTTGATGGGATCAGGCATCAGACATCAAAGACCCAGAACAAACAATCATATCAATGCGAATGAGGGGGAAAGCGGAGGGGAGACCCAAAGGCTATCTCTAGACAATTGGACATCCCTGCACAGAAGGGTCACAAGGAAGAGACGAGCAATCGGTGCAGTATAGCACCAACAAGCAATCAACTTTCTGCTAGTTCTTTAAAACTTCTTCCCCCAAACTCCTCGCCCCCACTATCATATACTAAGCAATGTACACTGGTACAGATAGAGCTCAAAATGCAGAGAATCCAGGACAGATAAACCCTTCAGGACCAATAATGAGAATAGCCATACCAGGAGGGGGAACTTACCACAATGATCTACATATAACCTGCCCCCCCAGGTGGATGAACAACAGAAAGGTGGGTGAAGGGAGACAGTGGTTGGTGTAAGACATGAAAAAATAATTTATAAATTATCAAGGGTTCATGAGGGAGGGAGGGAAAAATGAGCTGATACCAAGGGCTCAAATAGAAAATGTTTCAAAGATGATGATGGCAACATATGTACAAATGTGCTTGACACATGGAGATATGGATTGTTATAAGAACTGTACGAGCCCTCAATAAAGTGATTAAAAAAATCAATGTGGAAAAAAAGAAAGTGATGTTCTTATGTTGTTGAGATTGTTAAAAATAAACAAACATTAAATTTTAAAAAATGTAAATTAAAATACCCTTAGTGTTTACTTAAGAGTATTGATTTATTGAACCAATCACTTAGTAAAGTGATTTGCATATGAAAAAAGTGGGGGAAAAGCCCTTCGACTTGAATGTCCAGTAGTAGTAGCGCAAGTGAATGGAAGAAATGATGACATAAGCGAGCTGCCAAAGGCAGTTCAAGAAGACAAAGTAAAATATTATAATGCAATGCACAAAGACTTCCAGTTAGAAAACCCAAAGGCAAGAACACACTCACCATGTCTCAAGCTAAGAGCAATGAAAAATTTCAAGCCTTGAGTTGGAATATTGAAGGAGTCTATGGGCAAAACATGGAATGATGTAGGAAACATCTAAAGAAGGTGAAATACAAACTCACTGTACCAAAACGAATTGGTTGATCTTCAACCATTTCAAGAGGAAGCATATGATCAAAAATTGATAGTATTGAAGGAAGAAGTCCAAGCTGTATTGAAAGCAGAAGCAAAAGAACAAAGCTATCGG